CTGTGAAAATATTCTCTTTCTCTCTTTAAAAGCGGTTCAACTTTTTCTGGGTTCTTCCATTTTGTTTCTTTTTTGAGTTTTTTTTTTTTTTTTTTCTCTAGAAACAAACAAGAATTCTGGAACCTCCTTTTGGGTATATGAGAAGAAGGCAGTTTATACCCAATTCCACATATAATATCCAGTAGGGTTTTCAAATTCTCCTCCTTTACCATAACCAAAACGCAAGGAGAAAGAAAAAGAGAGAGAATCATACATTTCGATTCAGAAACAGAAAGAAAAAAAGGGGTTTTGAAGAATTATAAAGTAAAGAAGAAGGAAAGGTAGAAGAGTTTTGAGTTGTTGATGATGATGAACATGGTGGCGGTGAAACCTGCATGGTTAGAGGGATTGATGGCAGAGACGTTCTTCGGGTCTTGTGGGGCCCACGAGAATTGCAGGAAGAACGAGAAGAACGTCTTTTGCTTGCTCTGTTGCCTCAGCATCTGCCCTCACTGCCTCCCTTCTCATCGCTCCCACCCTCTTCTTCAGGTTAATTTTATGACATCACAAACTGTTACCCCCCCCCCCCCTCTCTTCTTCGACTATTTTGATTGCTTGTTTTTATGTTTGTCATCCTCAATTCTTATGTCTGTACTTGAAAATTCTCTGAACTGACACCACAATCGGTTGATTTTTACCCTTCTGTCCAGTTTGAACAATTTAATTCCCAGATGATTTCTCTTGTACCCGTTTTTTATTAGCACGTTTGTTCTTGTTATCACCAACTTGTTTGATAAACTTCCTAACTTTTCTCTCTTTCATTCTTTATAGCTCTAACTTAATTTTGTAAATGAACTTTTTGGGTATCTTCTTTTGGAGGTGGAGTCTCTGGGATTCTTAACTATTGTTTGTTCTTGAATTCTATTTGTACTGAATTCTGTAATGGGTGCATGAAATTATTTTAGAATTTTTTTTTCAAGGTATGTAGAATTTCAATACAATTCCCTTGATTTTATGTTTCCATGGAGGCCTCCTAATTTCATAGATCTTCTGGTACGTTGCCTTGATTAATTCCCAAATGCTCATATGGGCAAAAAAGTTAGTAATTCTTGATGAACCTTTTCTTCTCATGAATTTGTTTTTTCCTTCTTGATGCATGATTATTTCTACAATTAATTGCTGGTCTCTGGTTCTTTAATGATAAAAATCTAGGCAATTGTTCTTTCCTCAAAGCAATTTCATTCATTTTTCGAGAATTTATCAAAATCCATATTCTAAATTTGTATAAATATGCATTTATGTAGCTCTTATCTTGCTTAATGGACAAATGAGATTATTTATTTCCAATTTTTCTCTGAAAATTAAGAATCCATCCTTGCTCAGTCTCTAAATTCTTCCAAGAATCTGTAATCTAATTCTTCTCTTGGAGTTGTTTTTACTTCTTTTTTTTCTTTTTTTTTTTTTTTATGCATATGGTTTTCCACAAAAGGGTTTATATGTGCTTCCTTGAATCCAACCTTTTGGATTTAGTTTGTTTCCCCTTTACGGAAGATTTCTATTTTATCCCTTTATTGCAAAGGCTCCTCAGCTGTTGCTTTCAAGAAAGTGAAAGTTTGACCCAACTTTAATTTCTCCCAAATCCTTCCATGTTCTTCACTCATTTTCTCTTTCAAAACGTTTCTTTTTCATCTACTACTTTTCTATATATAACCAAAAGTCTGCTGCCAAACTTTTCACCTAATTTTCAATATGGTGCCACAGAATTCACCCCATGATTTTAATTTACTGCATTTTGCTTATATCAATATACTTAAGTGTATTTTAGTTAAATTAAGCTTCACTGATGTTAAGGTTTGGATCCTTAATTGGGACAGGTGAGGCGCTACGTCTACCATGACGTCGTTAGGTTGGATGATCTTGAGAAGCTTATTGACTGCTCTCACATTCAGGTATAATTTAATTTCCTAGATTAAGTTGAACAGAAGTGATTAAGTTGTCAAAGAAAGAAAAAAATTAGGAAGCATATGCAGAAGGGTAATGAAGAGTGATGTTATGTGTTGGTTGTGGCTGCAGCCCTATACTATAAACGGTGCCAAAGTAATATTCTTGAATCAGAGGCCCCAGTCAAGGTCCAAGGGCTCTGCCAACATTTGCTTCACTTGTGACAGGATTCTCCAGGAGCCGTTCCGCTTCTGTTCTCTGTCATGCAAGGTCCATTTTTTTACTTAAATCTTTGTCGTTTTCAATACAATTTAATTCACCCTGACCAAGTTACAAAGTTTCATAAATGTAAAGCTAAGGTCATGTTTGGGTCCAATTGTAAAGACATAATTTCCTCATACAGTTACTATCACCTCTGATCTTATTCATAAAGTATTAATGAACAGGTTGATCACTTGGTAGATCAAGGTGAGGATCTGTCAACCATCCTGTACAGGATTGATGACTCGGATTTTGCATTTTCACAGTTTGAGGGACTAAGGGTTGATGTTCCAGAAATGATGGATGATGATCAAATCACTCCAAACTCCATCCTGGAAAACCCCTTGCAATACAAAGGCACATCTGGTTCCAACGAAAACGTGGGTAATTCTGAAATTTCACGAGGAAAGGAGGTGGTGAGGAAGAAGAAAGGTACTGGCTTCCTAGGAGGCATAGTTCTCTCCCTCAACAATAGGAGAAAGGGTGCTCCTCAAAGAGCTCCTCTTTCCTAGAGGAATTTGGCATTGAACAATAGTTAGAAAAAATAAAATCTAGGGTAGAAATTAGTGGAGGAGATGATAAAATTATGAGCATATGTTTGTGAAGTTAATGCATGCATGTATGGTACTACTGAGTAGGGTTAATTGATATTAGCAGTGTTGCTTAGATTTTCTTTATGTTAGCTCTTCTGAATCGGAATATGCATTTCCGTTACTGACTCAGGTGGGGAGCTATGCTAGAAAGCTGTAGAGAGACTCTAGAGTCTCCTTGATTCCCACCAATTTTGTACTAATGTAATGGAACTTGCACCTTTCAATGTATATTAATTAAATATGATTTTCAACTTAATTTCCTACGTTGATGGGTCTTGTATGCTCATTTTCTTACTCTTGCAATCACACACAACTCATTTTCGCATTAACCATGGATCTGTTGTACCACCATTTACATGACAAAACACATCACAATTGTTGATATCTAACATCTAATGCTCTACTTGTTTAGGTAAAGGATAGATGATAAACAAGGAAAACTGTTTTTCTATCAATGATCTACACTTGTATTAATTTAACGCAACGCAACACAAATTGTGACTGTAACATTGGAACGGTCTAATAATGAAAACTACTCGAAACTTGAGACCTCAACATGTCAAAAAGTTCTTACCACCACAAACTAATTATATAATTGTGATGGTACAGAAGGTGATTTTATAATTAAGATCTTGGAAATGATAATGTAAATGGGATTCTAAACGCTTGAACAAAATTTACATAAATAATGGTATTTTGTGAAAATCAAGAGGGTTAGGAAGAAGTAAGTGGTGTCTCACTCGGTTGACAGAGAAAGAGAGTGGTGAACCCGAGGTCCTGCTCAGCCTCCTCCCCACCTCCCACTACCACATGCTGCCTCCCCATTCAGTCCCCCGGAATCTTTCTAATTTTATACTTTATTTTCCATTGTTTTCAATTATAATAAACAAAATCATTAAAACTGTTAAAAAACTTAACCGTTGGAGTTCTATCAAGAAAGAATGAACAATGTAAATTATGTTAGAAATGCAAATCCAAATCTTTATATTGTCATTTACTCTCTTTGTCTCAATTTAATTGTTACATTTTTATCTATTATGTTTACAAAAAATTATCAAATTCTATTAAAACGTAAATATTATAAGTTAAAATGACTTATTTACATTTTGTAAGACTCAATTAATAAAGAGATTGTGAGTAATTATTTTGTTAAAAGTGTTATTATATATAAGCCAGTAGTCAAGCTAGCTAGTAATCCAAGGCAAGAAATCGAATATATAGTTAGCACTAATTATGCAGATTGCATCCACAATAACTGTGCAGATTGTATTTCCTTTTCTGATAGCATGATTCTAGGCAACCATCTGTATATAAAGATTGTACCTAATGTAATGTGATGATTGAGTTCTGGTTCAAATCCTTTTCTTTATTGCTCTTTTCATTATAAAAGTGCAATTGGGATAAAAGTAAAAAGAGAGCTTTTAATGCTTTATTTAAGATAAAAATTGATAATTAAATTAAGAAACTCATTTTTGAAAAGTATGAAAATTTTTAACAATAATAATAAGTGGGATTAAAATTTGGGATCAAAATTTGAAATCAATGGCATAGCATAAGTCACTTCATTTAAAATATTAAAAAATAAATTTATATTATTAACAATTAACAAAAACCTATAATATTATATGTATTATTTAATTTAATAATATAATACAAACCATGTCATTTATT